AGAATTTTGATTAGAGAAATAGAAACTCTTAAAAAAAAGAACAAAATAGCAATCTCAACTGAAACAGTGCATTAATAGAAATAAATAATTGAAGAGAGAATTAATGGAATGCAACAAGATCAGAGAAAAGGGGATAGAAAAGAAGAGCAATAATATGAGAGGAAATGGTGAAGAGTTTAAAATTCATGTACAGTTACCCTTGAATAACATGAGCCCATGGAACTGTGTGGACTTATTTATATACAAATTTTTTAAAAAATTTTCAACAGTTTAGAAAAACTTGCAGATAAACTATGTAGCCTAGAAATACTGAAAAAAATCAAGAAAAAGGGATTTTGTCAATACATAAAATACAGGAAAATAAGCCAGCATAAAACTTATACACACATATCTATCATAAAAAGTTACAAAATTATAGAAACTGGGCCAGGCATGGTATCATTGGCAGTTGAATGAAATGTCAACAAATGTAAAGACTCTGGAGCTGGAGATATAGCTCAGTGGGAAAGTGCTTGCTTAGCACTTGAGGCCCTGGGTTCAGTCCCAGCACCAAAAAAAAGAAAAAAACAATGTAAAGATGCAGTGTTAAAGTGTAACTGCATAAAATTACCTGTAGTATTAACTATAGTAATACATGTTTCCTGAGGTCAGGTGTTGCCAGTATGTGTTCAAATCATCATGTGATGCTAGTCATTTCTGCACAAGTGGTTCATCTCTCTGGTAAATTGAATATCATGGTAAAAAGGGATATCTCTGGGTTTTCATGTATTTTTCACATATATAATTCATGTAGCATTCAAAATATTTGTGTTAACTAAGAGTATATGTTATCAGCTAGGTTTCAAGTCAACGGAAGGCTTTAAGTTTCTGGGCAGTTAAAAGTTATACACAGATTTTTGATTGCACAGGATTTGATGCTTATCACCCCCACATTGTTCAAGGGTTAATTACAATTTGAATTCCAGAAAGAGAGAATGAGGAAGAAGTAAATTCTAAAGGAGTAATGACTGAGAATTTTTCAAAATTGATAAAAGAGTCACAGATTGATAAAACACTATGCATCACAGGAAGATAATACAAGCCAGGTGTGGTGGCACATGCCTGTAATCCTAGCACTTGGGAGGCTGAAGCAGGAGGATCACCATGAGTTCAAGGCCAGCCTGAACTACATAGCAAGACCCTGTCTCAAAAAAAAGAAGATAATACGAAAGTACCATCCTAGGGACATTATTATAAAATCAAATACACAATCAAAGAAACTCAAGAAAAAATGCTCAAAACAGATTATCTTCAAAGGAGCAGCAGTTAGGTAACTGATTTCTCAGCAGAAATTTTGGCACCTGGCACTCAGTGGAATAGTTTCTGTGCCCAGTAAAATATCACTAGAGAAGGAATGCCAAGTAAGTACACTTCTGATCAAAAGAAACTGATAAAATTATCATTGGAAAAATTAATATAAATATTCCAAAAAAGCGTTCCTCCAAAAGTAGAGAAAATAATCCATAGTTAAAGCTTGGAACAATAAGAAAGGATAAACATGGGAGAAAGCCTAATGAACATAAAGTGTTGTAAAATAACAATGTCTTTAAAATATCTACTCAAATTAAAATAAATGTCAGCAGTGTCATGAATTTAGGGGGAAAAAGGCAGGTGGGGTTAAAATAGTCTCAGCTTTTAGCATTGCCCCAAGGAAATAGAATACTGATTTTTTATATTATAGTTTGATAATTCAAAGATCCATTTTATAATTTCTGGGCTAGACACTAATTGTAAAGTAAAAGATTATCACTGCCAAGCTGATGGGGTGGAAAACTAGAATAATGAAAAGTAATCCAAAGAAAGGAGAGAAAAAAATTTTTTAAGCTGGGGTAAATATTAAGATGGTAGATAAACCCAAATACATTAATTATGTTACATTTTAATATAGAACATGCCATAATTATGAGGTGGTAATTTATCAGAGGAAATTAAATTTTAAAGAGCCTACTCTATACTTCTAATCAGAGAGATTCTGAAAATAAAATGCAGGATGAGTGAAAATAAAAGAATACAAATACTATAAAAGAATAAAATACATTATGCAAATGCTGACAAAGTTGGTAATATATGAGAGAGTTTAATGCAAAACAGATTATTAGAGATAAAAGGGACATTACATAATAATTAAAAATTCAGTTTGCCCGAAATATGTGACAATTCTCAATTTGTAAACACACAGTAACTAACCTTCAAAGAAATATGATAACACTCAATGGTAAAACAGGCATATCCCCAATAATAGTATGAAATATGAATGGATTGCTCTCAGTAATTGAAATAACAACTACAAAAATATTAGTAAGAATATGTTAAATGTGAACAATGCAACTTGACACATCAAGTCTAACTAGGCACATATATAGGATTCAATATCTTCATAATACACTTTCTTTTTAATTACATATAAGACATTTACAAAATTGACCAATTTAAAAAAGTAACTCTTACAAATTTTTAAATGATTCAAATTCAGACTATGTTCTTTAGTGATAGTGAAAATTGTTAGATATCAGTTACATAAAGATCACAAAAAATCTCAGTTGTTTCTAAGTTAAGCAAAATAGTTCTAAATATTATTCATAGGTCAAAGAGTTCACAATGAAAATTAGAAAATATTTTAAACTGATTAAAAATTAAAATAACACCCAAACTTATGGGCTACAGCTTAGGGCCATTCTCAGAGGACAATCTATAATCTTCAGTATATACATTTATAAGAAGAAAGTCCAAGATAATCAGTGATAGCTATGAATTTATTGAAGAGATTAGAAAAAAGACAGCAAACTAAACCCCAAATTGTAAAACAAATGGGGCAAGAAAAACTTGGGCAAGAAGGAGCAGACATTAAGAACAGAAGGATTAGCCATCCCACCCAAAGTAACTTCAAATACTGAAACTCATGAGGATTACAAATTTGAGGGGAGCCTGGGCAGTTTAGCAAGACCTTTTCTCAAAACAAAAACAAAAGAGCATACTTGGGTTTGGGACATAGCTCAGAGTAGCTTGCCTACCCTGCACAAGACGTGGATTTGGTCCCCAGGACTGCAAAGAAATGATAACAATGATACTAAAGCAAGAGTAAACTAGGGAGTCCTTCCTTTGCGTGATAGTGCACGACTATAAAAACAATTTTAAAAGTTGAATCTATACAAAGTGATGTTAATAATGGGAAGGAGTTATTTCTGTGACCTAAACTTTACAATTTTTATAGAAACACTAAAAACGATATTACTGAAGGTTATAACTTAAAAAGAGATAAAGTTTTAATATTTATAATATCTTTAATGATGTACTAAATAAATATTAATTTTATATTTTTATTTCATATGCTGTCAATTACAATTATTAAAATTAATAGATTCATAACTCAGGGAAATGATGAAATATGTCATTATTAAAATATTTAAAACTATAATAACATATTTTGCTGTGTTTTGTTTTGTGTTGTTGGGGATTGAACCCAGGGCCTAATAAATATGAGGCAAAGTCTCTACTGCTGAGCCTTTACATACTCAGCCCTTATATATTTTAATAAAATAGTTAAAAGCAGACTATAATATATTGTCAGTATAATGTGTTTGTGTTTTTAACAAACAGTAAAAATTCTGATAGAAAATACATCACAGTATTAATGGATTTTTTTCCCTGCAACCTGGCATGTCTTCTCTAAAATCTTGCCTTATTTCTATATTGGTCATTTTTCTCTATTAAATATAACTTTATATGACAAATATAAATATTTTAAAAATTCTGTTCAATATTTTGAAATAAAAACATTTATCATTGATACTTCTCTGTATTTTTCAATTAAAAAATAATTAGCAAATTATTTTTTCCTTAAAAAGTAATCTTTATTGTTTCTAAGTTATTTCCTTAGTTTTATTATATTTAATGAATTTTATTTTTGATAAATACATGTATTTCAAAAATTTTGATAAGTATATGTATTTCAAAAATAATTTCTACTTTGAAAGATTTGTATCAGTAGATAATTTTCCTCTAAATGTTTTAGATATATGGATGTAATTTTCACCTTGAGGTGTATTTTCTGTAAGTAAAAATTTTTTGCTTATATTATATACTTGTGTTCTAGTCTTTTCAGTATTATGGAACTTTTTTCCTTTAGATTTGTTATCATTTAAATTAAAATAATTAGTCTTTTAAGTTATATCTTCCAGGGCTTTTTAAAGATAGATAGGTAGATAGATAGACAGATGTTTAAAACTTGGAATATCTGTAATTTGATGTATAGATAGATGTTTAAAGCTTGGAATATCTGTAATTTGATGTAAAGATAAAGATTTCAGCCAGGCGTGGTGGTGCACACCTGTGATCCCAGCACTCAGGAGGCTGAGGCAAGAGGAGAATCCCTGAGAGTTTGAGGTCAGCCTGGACTACATGGTGAGCTCAGAGCCAGCCTAGAATATACAGCAAGACCCTGTCTCAAAAGACCAAAATAAATAAATTATAGCCAAGATATATAGAGATGTGCTACAAAAAAGTTTCTAGTAGTCTTGGTTTTCTATCTGCAACCATTTTATTCTACTCTATTAACTGAAACTACTTAAGAATTCAAATGGGTTTTATGAAACATGATGAAATAAATTCTATATGTTACCATTTTTGTTTAATTGACTGAAACTAGCATTTTAAGTTTATTTCTGAATAGCTTACTCTAAGGTGTAACATCTAAATTTTACCTTTAGCAAAAATTAAAATCTTAAGACACACTGAACTCTGCTTGAATTATTATCAGTTGAATGCATTTGAATTTGTTCACCTTTGTGTTCACTTAACAGTATGTGAGGGTGATTAAACGCTTCTGATTTTGTATTCAAAGTCTACCTAAAACGGTTTTTATGTAATGAATTCTTTTTGAACCATTATTATTTAACTGACCCCCAAACAAATTCCTGTTACTAAAATGAATTTCAATTCTTATTATGTTGTTTGTCCCAAAGGTTGCACAGTGAGTTAAAAGATGCTGTTGAAAAGCAATTGGAGGCCCTTCCCTTTAGCTTGGAAAGAGGAAATGATACCTTTCCAGATGATGAAACAGTCAAGAACCTTAGAGAGCAACTCCAGCTAGCCAATCAAGTAAGTGGTATATTTTTTTAAAATATGTACTGAACTTGCATCCTTTTTTAAAAAAAACTATGTTCATCATTATATATGAATAACAACAGAATAACAAAATTGTTAGCACTTGATTTTCTATAATATACAAAATTATAAATAAGACCGTATAAAAATACCCTTAGTATTATATAGTTAACAAATACACATTTTAATTGAATTGTAAAGCTTTTGATTTGATTGCTTTCCTATAAGGTTTTACTGTCAAGAAAAATTTTAAAGAAAGAATCAATTATCCCACTTCTCTGATTTTAAATTTCTCTGTTTTCTTCTGTTATATTTTCTTCCATTTTCAAAGATTATGGTGTGATATTTCTCTAAAATTATACTTCTAGAAATATATTTTTTCTCCTATTTTTCTTCCCTCATAGTAATTGAAATCTTTGGGAAGCTATGTTCTATATATCCTGTCTTTCGGTGCTGTAATTTTTGTGAATTTATACATAAGAGAATTTTACTTTACAACCCAAGTGTGTCTTATCTTGTATGGATTTGAATCTCCAGTCCACTTTTTTTTCCCCCTTACTGGAGATCAAACTCAGGACCTTGCACTTGCGAGGCAAGCGTGGTGCCACTGAGTTAAATCCCCAGCCCCTTCCAGTCTACTTTCTAACTGTGAGTGTAGGAAAAAACCTTTATGTTTCAGGTTCCTCATTTATAAATGAGGTTAGATATTCTGAGTTACTTTTTTGATTTTTTAATTGTCAGTAAAGAGTCATATTTACTTGGAACTTTGGTTTTGGAATTCTTTACTTTATATGTTAGGTAAATAAATAAGGATCCTGGGCACAGTGACAAATGGCTGTTATCTCAGAACACTGGGAGGCAGAGGCAGGAGGATTGCAAGTTTGGGCCCAGCCTGGGCAATTTAATGACTTAAGGTTAACCTGTCTCAAAATAAAAAATAAAGAAAGGACCGGGCATGTAGCTCAGTGCTAATGCCCTGGGTTCAGTCTCCAGTACTGCAAACAAACAAAGGTATTTATCTTGATAAGATGTACTTACATTGAATTTCTTGAGATGTTGGATATCTCTCTGTTTTTTTTTTGGTATCAGGGATTGAACTCAGGACCTTGCAGTTATGAGGCAGGCAGCAGCACCACTGAGCTTTCAGGGCTTTCAGGGGACATAAAGGTTTTTAGAAGAAGTATAACAAGGTGCTGAAGTATTCATTTTACTTTCTTCACTTTACTTTCAAGGTCTCGAATCTTGGAAAATTTTGTTCCTCTCCTTCCTCATATGCATATGGGGATTAAAATAATTTTTATCTTATGGAGTTCTCATGGTAATTAAAAATCCTTGGGCAGGGGATTTAGCTCAGTGGTTCTGCCGCCTGCCTTGCAAGCGCAAGGACCCGAGTTCGATCCCCGGTACCAAAAAAAAAAAATCCACAAAGCATTCAGTGTAATGCTGAGCACATATGTAAAGTTAATAAATTTGTTGTATTTTTATCATCACCATTGAACAGCAAGTCAGAGAAGTAACACAATTACACGTGTTGTGTAGAGTGACTATGTTGCTTTAGGAGTTGATGGCAAGAGTATATTATTAAGTACCTAACTTAATTTAGTTTTGAATATTTGTTCTGTTATAGTAATGTGATTTGTAAAACTTTCTGGAAAACTGTTTGACGCTAGGAGCTTTATAAATGTTCAGAGCCTTTGACCAAGAAATGTTCATAACCTCTGACCAATTAGATAATGATATCAGATAGATTCTAGGAGTTTGTTCTAAGGAATTAAATATAAAAATGTGTGAATAAACATGTTCATATAATATTTATGATAATGAAAAATTGGAAATAGTTTAAAAAATATATAAAAATCAATTAAATTGTGGTTAGTCCCCAAACTAAATTTATACCACTTAAAAAATGATATGTGGTATTGGCATAGTAGTTTTCAGGATTTAGTGTACAGCCAATCACCTGTGGGCTTGTTGAAACACAGATTGCTGTACATATCCACATGCACAAGTCTGAGATAGAACCCAATAATTTGCATTTCTAACAGTTCTGAGATGATGTTGATGATGCTGGTTCTTTGAAATCATTAAGAGAATCTACATTTTGTAACTACTAATGCAAGTGATTGTTTTTGTCAGGCAGCTTTGGGAAATAGTAAGATCTTTGAAGTATGAGGCATTTTTATGATTAGTCATTAAGAAAATGAAATGAAAACTAAGTCTTAAGGAAAATTAAGTCATAAGGAAATGAAATGAATTACTCAGCCAGGAATTAGTGATCCAATCCAAGTCTTTGGTTGCAGATTCTGTTTGTCTACAAATTTCAGAACTATGTGAGTTTTACCCAGGGATTTAGCTCAGTGGTTCTGGTGCCTGCCTTGCAAGCACAAGGTCCCGAGTTCAATCCCCGGTGCCAAAAAACAAACAAACAAAAAAACCAAAAAAACAACTATGTGAGTTTTAGGCACAACGAATTATGGTATTAGAAGACAGTATAATGGCTGTTTGGGGAGAGATTATAGTAACTGGAAGAGGTCACAAGAGGAGCATCTGCCTTCCAAGTGATAATCCCTCTCTTGAACTTGTTCTGGTTGCAGTGAGTCTATTCACTTCATAAAAATTCATGATCTGTGTGTTTTCTGAATGCATGTTATATTTCAGTAACTATTTCATAGAAACTAATAAACCTGTATTTTAAATATATACTCAATCATGTTCTAAAAGTGAATATCTTTTCATTAAACTAAGAGGGTGGTTTACTTTGGACCTGGGATTTGAAAGTTTAGATTTTAGACACAGAGAGGTGAAGATTTCTTCCTGATTCAGTTAACAATTTGTTGAGAAACCCTAGGCAAGTTGCCTGAACCTTAGTCTCTACTTCTCTAGATGGTAAGAGTTTCTACTTCTTAGATTTGCATTTCTCAGCATTTTTTATTTCAGGACCCTCTTTAGGATGCTTAAAAATTATTTAGAGCCCTAAAGAATCTTCTATTTTGTGGGTTATGTATCTATCAATATTTTTTGCGTTAGAAATTAAAACAGAATGGGAACATAGGTACACATTCCATTAGTGCTAAGAGCAATGATGACATCACAAACAATTTAGAAAATTCCACTATTAGAGAATGAGAATGAAAAAAGCACATAATGTCTTCATATTATTATAAATATAATTGCGACCTCAAGATCTTCTGAAAAGGTCTTGGGAACCATAAGGGTTCCCATACCACACTTTGATAATGCTCTATTGAAAAAATAAAGACTTGAAAAAAATTCTCATTATAAATTGCCAAATCAAAGTAGTACAATACAAACATACTTTGTCATTTCTGTTTTTTAAAAGAAAAAAGATTCTACCCCAAATTACATTTATAAACATGAACAGAATCAATATTTATAAAAATGACTATATCTAGATGTCACCAATATTTATTATCATGTGCTAAAATTATTAATGGTTCTTACTTTCTCCACTGGTTTTCGGTGTTTTCCTCTTTTTCCACAATAAGCACTTACTACTTTTACAGTCAGGAAAAAAAAAATGCTGTACTTTTCCAGTGAGATACTTCAATAATTTCTAAGGCTTATCCTTGTAGAACAATAGTTCTCTGATAAGGCTTTTAATTTTATCTCTGAAATCTGAGTTTAAAAATTTCAAAATAAGAAAATATTCTTCTGTAGATTTGTTTTCTAAATTATTAAATCAATTTAAAATCACCCAAAATATTACAACTATAATGCAGTCTTCTGCTGCCTAAGGGCATTTCGGTCAAAATGTAACTGTGCATACAATGGTGGTCCCATAATATTGTATTACCTAGTAAGATATAGCCATACTAGTTTTTGTAAATACACTATGATGTTTGCACAGTAGTGAAACTGCATAACAGAACATATCTTAAAGCATATCTTAAAACATATGTATTCCTGTTATTGAACAATGCACGACTGTACCATCCTACACATAATGTTTTTATGCTATAGCTTTACAAGAACTCATTGGTAAAAGAAAATGAGCCATTTGCACTATTCAATAAGTAGCCTTACTAATAATTTGAGTTATATTTTTGTTTGATAGGAAAAGACTCAGGCTGTGGAACTCTGGCATAATGTTTCTCAGGAGTTGAACAGACTACAGAAACTTTACCAGGAACATATGACTGAGGCCCAGATTCATGTATTTGAAAGCCAAAAACAAAAGGTAATCTTAGATGTTTTAATAATTATAATTAAAAAATAGATAATCTTAGAGTTCATGATTTTCTTGTATATCAGTAAGAAATTGCATTCTAAAGAAACTACTTTGGAGAGAAATACCTAAGTCTTTTTTTTTTTCATACATATTTGCAGTACATGCAGTTTAGAATCATCTTGGGGAGTTCGTACATGTACATGATACAGCTTGTTTCTTATTTCCTTATCCCCTTCCCTTCCCCTTCTTTCCTCTGCCTCTAATTACCCTTCCCCCTTTCCATTCTTGTTGATATTATTAATCTTAGTTCATGTTTATGGCATATAATGTCCACATTCATTGAGGTTATTAGGATCTTGCACATGGCATGTCTTCATTCTACCTATTTCTCCATCCCTTCCCCTTTACCCTTCACTCTTGGTCCCTTGGACCCTTCATATCTGCAAGAGATCCACCCTCTGTCTCCTTCTATCCTTCCTTTATTCTGTTTTATTTTGGTTTTTGGGTGTGTTTTCTTGTTTTGGGTTTGGAGGGTTTTTTGCTTTGTTTTGTGGTACTGGGAATTGAACCCAGAGGCTCACAGATGCTAGGCAAGCAATCTACTACTGAGCTACATTCCTAGCCATATTGATTGATTGACTTTGCAGTACTGGCGTTTGAACTCGGGGCCTTCTCACTGAGCTGCATCTCCAGTCTTTTTATTATTTTTTATTTCGATTTAGGTTCTTTCTATGTTGCTGCATTGCCCTAGCTTGGCTTGAACTTTGAACTCCCTACCGCTACCTTTTGTTGTGCTAAGATCACAGGCCCAGGCCACCACCCTGAGCTCACCGGCCCTTTTATATTTTTTTATTTTGAGACTGGGTTCACTAAGTTTCCCAATTTGGCTTTGAACCTGTTACCCTCTGCTTCAGTCTCCTGTACTGTGCTTTTTATGTTAATAAGAAGTAGAATTCTGATATTAGAAATCTCTTAAACAAATAAGATAATTAAAGTACTATCCCAGTACACATTTGCTTTTATAATGTGAAGAAGAGCAATGAAAGCTGTATCTAGGTCTACGGAGCAGGTATAAAATTACTTTGTATAAAGGGACCTCCAGAGTTTTCATTTGCTTAATTTCCTACCTGTTTTGAAACAAAACAAAAATGTTACTGGGTTATGTGCTGGTGAAGAGATTTGTTCAAAGATAGTGACCACTATGTCAAATGAAAATATACCTTTAAATGTGACATTTTTCTAAAATAGATGGTTGCCTACTATAATTTTTTTTCTTTGAGACAGAGTCTTGCCTTGAACTACGTAGCCTAGGCTGGCCTTGAAGTCACAGTGATCTTCCTGCCTCAGTCTCCTGTGTCCTGGGATTACAGGCATGCACCACCACGCCAGGCTGGCTACTATAAATTAATCATTAAAATTTTAAAATAGGAAAAGATCTTAGTTGTTTTAAAAGATTTCTTTATATCCAAAGCAAGAAACATTTTACAGTCTTTCAAAGTAGACAGGTAGTGTTTGCTTTATACCTTTGTTAACAAGAACTTACTACCTCACAAGACCATTCATTACATTGGAAAAACTGCCTTTTTTCTTCTGTTGGTTCTTTTACTGCTGAGTACATTGAGTATGGTAGACAAATTCCAAATTCCAATTCTGATCCCCTTTCTGGGAATCTTGAGAAGCATCTACTTAAACAAATTGGTTATCATAACTCTTTAATTCATATATAGGTTTTTCAAATTATAATTTATGAATATTCCCATTGTTATTATAGTTGGGCTAAAGACATCATAATAATATTTGAATGATTTTTTTATACATGCTCTGCTTTTTTTTTTTTGGTACTGGGGATCGAACTCAGGACCTTGCGCTTTGTGAGACAGGCAGCGGAACCACTGAGCTAAATCCCCGGCCCTACACTCTGATTTGAAATAATCCTCATGTAATTTGATCCAGAGAACCTTTGACCCTGAGATCCAAAAACCATTCTTAATAAAAATAAATTCTTTGCAGCTGTTCACTCATTTAGGTCAATCAACTAAGTCCATAAGTTATCTTTTTTACCTGAATAAAGTCACTTTTGTACTGTACCTGTACAATTAAATTTTTTTTTCTTTTGTATGTGACTTTACAAATAGCACTTCATCTTTATTTCCTTGGTTGTCTTTAATTCTGATAGAATCTTTAATTCTGTCACCCAGCTTATTAATAGCCTCTCCCAGGTTTATGTTGTCTGTACAAATAATGTTTAATAATTATTAACAGTTAACGAAACAATATTAAACTTGCAGGGTGTGAACAAATTTTAAATAGGATTGGGTAATAACTATTATGCCATGGTTCACTAGGTCTGGAATAGGTTTGAATGTAGACTTCCAACACTAGACAAGATCTCTCTAACATTTGGAATTCTCATCACTTAGAATTTTTTATAATATATATCTTTGAGTTTTAAAATAGTACTTACTAATTGATTTAAATTGATTGTTTCCTCAATTTTTTAATATTTTAAAAGTATTTCTTATTCCTTTAACTACTGTTTGACACAGTAATAGAAGAAATACTGACATTTTCCTTCTCACATTTTTTATTGTTGATACAATTCATGTCTATTCATATTATCCATCTTCTAATCTATTTCCTATAGTCATTTTCAGTATGCCTTTTAACTTTACATTAGAATTAAAATTTGGGAAGGAAAAACTAAAATATAGTTTTATATAATATTGAAATTAGTTCTTATCAGCTTAAAATACAGTTATAACTCTAGATATTTTATGTATATCCTAAGGAGCTTCCCAAAATGCACAAGTTACACATAAGAAAAAGAATTAAAGCATGTCATTAGAATATAGCAAGGAAACACAGAGGAAGACAACAAGAGAGGAAAAGACAAAAGAACTATAAAGAAACTACCAGAAAGCAACAAATAAAACAGTATTAGTAAATCTTTCCCTACCATCAATTACTAAATATTAATGGATTAAATTTCTCACTCAGAAGGGTTCGAGTAACTGAATAGATTAAAAAAAAAGACTTGAGAGTGAAGGTAGATGGCAAAATGGAAGTAACTTTTGTGCCACTCAGCTTTGCAGAAGTGTGAGTAATTCCAAGAAAGGAGATACTGTTCATGTAGCAAAAGCAAACAAGTGAAAACTAAATTAACAAATTATTCAGGCAGCAATAAAGAAGAAAAAAAAGATACTGCCAAAATCACAGAAAATCACTGAGATATGATTTGAAAACCAAACTTGAGTCATTGAAATACAAGGAGACTTGAGATTCAGACTAATGGCATAAAAAAAATCCATCTGTGAAATAATATCAGAAAATTTCCTAAATAGGTAGCACTTAGGAACCCAAACACAGATAACTAAAGAAGAACCTCCTTTTGTTATGTTATAGTTGAATGTCAAGATTATAGAAGAAAGAATATTGAAAGCAGAAAGACAAAGATGTCAAATCACTTAGCCAAACCCATTCAAATTATAGCATATCTCTCAGCATGAACTCTATAAAGGATAGGAGGGCATGGAATAATGTACTTCAAGCTCTGAAAGAAAAGAACTGTCTAACTAAATTACTAATCCAGGAAAATTATCCTTCAAAATTGAAGGAGAAATAAGATTCTTCCATGATAAGCAAACACTAAAGGAATATATAACCACTAAGCCTGGATTAAGAAGTAACTTAGAAGGATACTCCAAACAGCAGAGGAAGAATAGACTTATTATCAAGCAATAGGAAAGAATGAAACATCAGAAAAATAACAAAATAGTAGGAGTTAATACATGGTCTCCAATTAATACAATTCTCCAGTTAAAAGACACAACCTGGCACACTGAATTAAAAAAAAATTCCAAGAAACACATGTCACCTGCAAAGATATATGTACAGATTGAAAGTGAAAGAATGGAAAATTATATTCTATGCAAATGCTATCTGCAGAGATACCTGTACTCCTATCTAACAATGCAAACGTCAAGTGAAAATTAATCAGAAGTGACAAAGAAGGTCACTAATAAAGGGAACAATCCACCAAGAAAATATGCACTAAACATTGGTATACCCAGTTTTATAAAACCAACACTATTTGGGCAGGGATTTAGCTCAGTGCCACTGCACCTGCTTTGCAAGTGCAAGGTCCTGAGTTTGATCCCTGGTACCCGGAAAAAACAAAACAAAACCAAAAAAACCAACACTACTTGATTTAAAGGAATGGACTTCAATAGGATACTAGAGGGTGGCTTCAGTACTCAGCTCACACAAATAGGTAAGTCAGCCAGACCAATAAAAAAATCTACAACGAAACATCAGAGTTAAACTACAGTTTATATTAAATGGACATCTACAGAGTGTTCATCCAACAACAGCAGAATACACATTTTTTTCAGCAGCTCAGATAACACTCTTCAAAACAGACTATAGTTTAGGGTAAAGGAAGTCTTAACAAATAATAAAAAAAGTGTCATCTTATGCATTCTAGAAGATTGTGATGCAATGAAACTAGAAATCAACAGCGGGGAAAAAAATGCCCCATAGAAACTACACAAACACCTGGAAATTAAATAATACACTTTTAAATGATCAGCAGATCATTCAAAAAATCAGGGGAAACTTTTAAAAATTCCAAAAGTAAAATGACAAGAAAACACAACATTTAAAAATCACAAAGATCTCAACCTATTGATAAACTCGAGTGTTAGAAAATCAAGAAAAAAAACCCAAAACCAAAGCCAGTGGAAAGAACAAAATAATAAAGATCAAAGCTGAAATTAAAGAAATAAAGTCCAAAACAGCAACACAGAAGATATGTGAAAGAAAGAGTTGATTCTTCAAAAAGATATATCAGATTATAAATTGCTGGATAAACTAACCAAAAGAAAGAGAAGAACCAAATTAATAAAACTAAAGGTGAAAAAGGTATCTGAAAAGATACCACTGAAATCTAGAGGATTATTAGAAGCTATTTTGAAAACATATATGTATTCCAGTACATTGGAGAATATACA